TGGCTAGCAAAAACTTAGTCTTCAACGAGAAATAGTAGTAGATTAGTATCTTAACAATGTAGTTAATGCAATTTTAGTATTTACTTGAAGTACTGATGCTTTACTCGTATATAAATAAAGTTAAATAGATAAATAATGAATAAATAAATAAATACATGACCGAACGAAACCATGTGGGTTGAATAAATAAATTTAGATAACTAAAAGTGGCCTTTGGTAGCGTAGAGGGCTAAAAGTATCCATTGTAATGATGAATTTTGTTTCCAGTATACGTCTACTTGTCGTGCTCTTGGGCTTATTGCTTGCAGTGTATTAGGACAGCGGTTATACTGACAAGTACATGTACATCCGGGAAATTAGAGAGTGTGTGTGAACGGCAACAGTGAAAGAACGTGTACTTAGTGAGCTCCGATTAAAGGATATGTTTTAAGTTTTTGTGGCGTGCATGGGTGGCTTAACAAAACTACATTGCTTTATTCTAAGATGTTCCTCCAACAGTGCTTCTATCCGCCTGGCTAGCACATGGAAAATGTACAATGACGTGTAAGAAATCTAAGCTACAAGGTCTACAGGCTAGTCCGTAGTTATCTCTCAAAAAAGATCAAAAATACTGACCTATCTCGATCTCATAATTTCTTGGCACAGTTCAATAAAAATTAAAAGCGAACAACTGTTATAGCGCACCAATTTTAATTAAAAGCTCATTTCAAAACTAAAATGTAGCCTGGTGCAGTTTTATATGCGGCACTAGTACTATTTCAAATATGACATGACATTGCACAGAATCCGAACATGGCATGAGCTGCCGACTGTTTCCTTTTTTTTTGATGAATAATGTGTCTTAACGGGCTTTAAAATCGCTCAAATACTATGCCTTACGCCAATTAGACCTAGAACGTTAATGAGGAGAATTATCTTGACTAATAATTTCCTCTCCTGCTCAAATCGTTTCACAGATCGAAATCTGTCGAAGCTCTTATTTGTTATGTTTTGCCAGAAATACTTGCTTTTATCGGATGCAAAGTTACAAGAAGATGTCATACGTTTGGATCAGTCGTATTCTCGATTTTTGTTAAATGACTGTCATTCTT